AATCATGGACATGGTGAGACCCAGGAGCAGGTGATATGTCTTGACAATCTGATGATGTGACACAGCTGACCTGAAGCCGTGTCCACCTGCCGAAGCAGTGCTAACTCCCAGCCTGTGGGTCACCACTGCCATCTGTGCTGGCTCTGTCCTCCTGTTGAGTGTCGTCATCCTTCTCATCTGTCTGGGCCCTAAGGTGAGTGTGCTTTTTGTAATTTGCATGTGTGTGTGTGTGTGTGTTAGTTTGACCACATGCATGTAGTAACCAGTGATTAAATTATGGGATTACTGAAAAAATAAAATAATAAGAACTATGCAATACTTTTGATCAGTGTTATCAAGCCTCATGAAGATGAACCAAGGTCACCATTGTTACTCCAGCTCTGTGTAGTTGTGTGTATACATTTCATATTTGACACCTCTGGTTGTGTCTGTTATGACATTATATCCCATTTTCTGTCTCCCCAGATGAAAAAAGCCTGTGAGGAGAAAAAAGAGATGCACTTTAACGAAATATATGAAGGCATTCAACACCGTGCATCTCTCAGCTGAGGGCCTAATCTGATGGGACAGGACGTGCACAAATCCCATCTTTATCATCATAACCTGTCACTCTAAATATCAAGTAATTGCACCTATAGCTGTGGCTGGGTGATATCAAGATATTGTTTTTCAGCCATATCTTAGGTCACTGTATAGATATTCGACATACAGTGGTGATCAAATGAAAGAGCAAGACACATTTTTGTAATTCACAAAAATGCAGCTTCTCCGAATTCAAAGATATTCTGACAGGAATACAGGAGATGTATTTTAATCATATCCCATTAGTAAAGGCTATGCCACATTAAAAAATAAATGGTTTAAACAAGAAATTTCAAGAAAGTCGGCGATAAAATGAGAACGGTTACAATTTTTTTTGTAGAAGAAGCCTAGAAATGAATTCTCAAATCAATTCTCAACTTTGAAAAATTAATAGGAAGGCTTTTTCATTCAATGACTGGCATATCAATGCCCACAGGACATCTGAGACAATTCAGAAACTGTGGTGGGTTTGTTTGGCATAATTTTGTCGCCGATTACCTTGCAGAGATTGATAGGGTTCAGATCAGGACTCTGGGCTGGTCATTTCATCTCCTAGATGTTCTTGGCTTTCAGTAATTGCTTCATCCACTTTGCAGTGTGGTAATGGGCATTTCTCTTTTTTCTCTTACTTTTGTCCTGTCCAGCAGCTTCAGCAAACAGAATCATTTTCTGAATGCACTGCTGTGCCAAACATGTTTGCTTTACATGAGGGGCTCTATAAACTCTGTATTGGCCCCTCATGTTGATCGATTCCTTTTTATTTTATTTATTTATTTCATTTTTAGCACATGTACAATATTGCAGTGGCTGAGGTGGCCGAAGAGGAGGGACAGATTAGGAGGGGGGAGAAAAAGAAAGAAAAGAAAAGAACAAAAAAGAAAAGAAGGAGTAAGTGAGAGAGCTAAGCCAAGATCATAGGAGTAAAGTAGAAGGCACATAATCTCCAATTGCTGCATCTGTAAAGGAAAGGGAAGAAAAACAAAAAAAGCATCTGAAAGAAGTGCAAAATGGATAGATACATAAACACAAACAAAAATAAAGAATAAAGAAAGTAACAGCTATACAGACATACGAAATTGTTGTGTGTGCTTGGAGGGGTGCGTGCAAGTGTATGCACATGCGTGTTCAGTTGTGTAGATGGGACGTGCGTGTGTTGTGTGCGTGTGTTGTGTGTGTGTGTTTTCAATATGGAATGTACTAAACGGCGAGGGTGGGAGGCTGCAACCACACCCCACAAGAGCCAGAGGTCGGCGGAGACAGACCCAGGAGGCCCGGGACGTCCGTAGCCCCCGAAGAGCACGGAAGAGCCGGGGCCCCACTCCAGCCGGGGGAGGAGGGAGGTCCCAGACGCTGCCCCCGCACGCAAAAGGGAATAAGATCCAGAGGCAACAGGTAGCCAACCTCGCATGAGCCAAGGCCCCCCCCCCACCAGACACAAAGACACCCCGCAGACACATCTCTCAGCCATGCATATAGACCATACACACATTCCCACAACATACACAGACACCCAGATATCACAACCCCAAGAAGCCACTAGACACCCACAGCCACAGCCCCAAGAAGCCACTAGACACCCATAGCTCGAGGGCCCAACCCTGCCACCCGCCAGGACCACGAGGAGATGAGACCACAGCCAACCACCCCCCATATATAATGGAATTGGTCAGTGTGGAATCCAATTCACCTAATTGATTTTTTCGGAAGGGAGCAGACATTCTCTCCAGACTTATATGATCTAAAAATAAATTTCTATACTGAGTAATACATAAATTGTTTTTTGATTTCCAGTTCATGAAGATAGTTTCCTTTGCAATACCTAAGGCAGTAAGGATTATGTGTATCTTATTTTCTTCCATATCTAATTCACTTACATCACCTAAAATGCACAATGTTCTTGAGGTTGGGATATGACAATTAAACCATATTGATAGATCTTCACATATCCTCTGCCAGAACTTCTGCACTGGTGTGCAGGACCATATGGCATGCATTTAGTTCTCCACAAACTTATCTGAGCAATTGGTGCATAAGTTTGAGTGTATAAGGCCCATTTGGAACATCCTTTGTCCTGTGTAGTGTATTATATGGAGAGTTTTGTGTTGTACAGTACAAGTTGTAAGTTGGGACTTTTAGTCATTTTGAAAGTGTTTAAACATATTTGTTTCCAAAAGTTTTGCTCTGGATTGATGGATAGATCTTGCTCCCATTTTGAGGTTGGGAGTGAAATTGAGTCATCTATTTTTGACAATAACATACAATTTTGCTAATAATTTTTGTGTAACATTTTTCAGTGCTGATTTTGTACTCTGCTGAATTGTTTCACATGAACCAAAAAAAAATTACAAATTGACCAAAACATACAAAACCCCGGAATGGACATGGAGGGGGGAAAAAACTGTATTTTAAACAAGTATTTCAAATATTTAACAAATAGGTGTCACGCCCCGCTCCGTCCGCTCCTAGTGTGTGCCACGCCCCCTCATTATCCACGTGTGCTTCCCCGATCGTGCCCAGCTGTTTCCTGTTTCTTTTGCCTTGTCCTGTGTATATGAGTCCGCGTCTCCCCATGTATGCCAGATCCGTCATTGTAGTGTCAGAGTGTTGTCCGTCTTTTGTGCATTAAACTCAGTTTACCTGACGTTCTGGCTGCACTTCGTCTGCTTCCCGACTCGCCCGTCTCCGAACGTGACACTAGGTTGTTGCTAAATTTAATGTATGGAGTCAAATTACATCCACATAGTGCTGCAAACAAATGTGTGTACTGTACCATAAACAAAAGCACGTATATATTGCAAACAAAACTGATTTTGTGGCACTCATTTTTCTTACGGTACATGTGTTGTGCTTTGCAATATTTTTTCCCTTTGTACTGTGTTTTTCTTTGCATTCCACTATCTGGCCTATGTTTGACAAGATGTGGGTGGGTGGGGCTTTGTGGGGGTGTCTGTCACAACCCGATCCTTACTGACCTGTACCTCAGATGTCTGCGCATGCACAGCATTTTTGTATGAAAATTTGATACCACGATTATTGTGACAAAATTATCATTGTTATCAGTATTATTGGCATGTGCTTAAAACTGGGTGAAAATGTTCAAAAAGTACTGATACACAAACAAATAATTTCACCAAATTTTATATATTTAAAAAAAAAAAAATCATTAACATCATAAGATAAACGCCGTGTATTCCACTATCATTGACTCCGGTTTGTTCCTGCCTCTATACTTCAGTCCTGAAACTGGCTATTCTAATATCTCCCCTTTAAAATAACATGTAGCCCAAAATTACAACTTCGTTCTCAAAATCTCAGATTTTTTTTCCTCAACGTGGCCCTAATACTCCATCATAGGACAATCCATACAGAAAAAGAAAATAAATTGTTTTGAACTGTGCCAATAATAAGAAAATACAAACGTACATTCTTAATAGCACATGGGCAAAAATTTCCAGCTCCATTTCACCACTAACAACATGCAATGTTTTACAAGAGTAGATAACAGTGAAAGATTCAGTTTACATTATTGACAAACTATTACCAAGTTAGACAGACAAACCATAACATTTTCCAAAGTTCCCACATCATGCATTGAGCTAAAAGTTAACTTACCTTTATAAGTTAGAGAAATAGAGAGTGGTGATCACAAAGATGGCTTGTTAGACTAGACTGTTGCCCCCCATTGCAGATATTTTCTTTCTGCATGTCCTGTAGACAGTGTGGCCGCAGGAAGAGCCAAGCTGTTAGCAAGCGCTGGGCAGTCAGTCGGCTCTGGAGGTGCGGCCCCCCCAAGCCCCTTCTTCTTCCGTGACTTTGTGGAAAGCTGGTTGTTGATCGCCAGGCTGGTTCAAGAAGCCTCGTCAGGCCATCACTGGTAAGAATGTAAAGATTGGAAGATATCGCAAAAGATTAGAAAAGCAACAAGAAATATAGTTCAAACAACTTCCTGACCAAAGTTTTACCGATTACATCATCATTAAAAGACAAGCAAAAGTAGCAAAATATCTAAACTTTGTCCACCAGGTGGCTCCAGGCAAGTCAAGTCAAGTAGATTTATTGTCATTTCAGCCATATGCACAGTACACAGTGAAACGAAACATTGTTCCTCCAGGAACATGATGCAACACAAAGAACAAGAACAGAAACAACACAAGACTACAGAAGTGCAGGCTTTCTTGGAACTGTTGTTGAGGTTCCGCTTGAGGTTCTCCGCAATGTGCTCTGGACGATCTCCACTGAGAATCCATTGATGTTCAGCGGAGAGTGGTCACGGTGTGCACTCCTGAAGTCAACAACTATGGTGTTTAATTAGTCATAACTCACGCACATACAAACCATGCACGTGTATGCGCTCGCGAGCAGAAAACCCGTCCTCTCTATGCGCTCGCTGGACCCTTTCTACGTGCTCGCATCTGCACAACACTCGCTTGATTGACAGGTTGAGTTTTGAGACTTTGGAGGCAGGAACAGTGGCTGATTTCTCTACCTCGTTGATTGGTCACTTCGAATCCTATGATTGGCTGTTTGCTTTGGAAGAAGAAGATGATCATTGATCAGTCATGTTGGAGCAAGGAAGTCTTACACTAAGGTAACATCTTTCAGAGATCCTATTTTAATAATGTCATTCACTTTGATATTATGGATTAGAAATAAGTTATTTTCCTGTTATTATCAATGTAAACTAATCCATTCTGGGGAGCAGCAGGTCAGCGCTGGGGCACGTGCCCCAGTAAAAGGGGTGTAGCAACACCCATGTAGTAACATATATTCACAACAATATGGGGAGTGTGCTTAAGAGCCATCTGCTTAGCCCACTGAACCACACGGTGCCCTGGGAAGCAGAACACACACTAGGGACTATGACGTACACAAGACTCGGGGAACACACAGAATGGGATGGGCTGCGACCCCTACTGGCCAAACGTGGAACCAAAAGGGAGCAGGACAGAGGCCAATTCTGACAAATCCAGGTACAGGGAAAATCTGGATTCAAGTTTTTGTATCCTGCATGTAGGTGGGTAGGGGGCGCCATAGATAGAAGATTGACTACACCATTCCGTTTTGTTTTTTTATAAACCAGTCTGACCAAAGGACAAGGAAACCCACAAGACGATTCAACTGCATGAGGAGAGGCCCAAAGAAATAAAAGAAATACAGTGGTACCTCAGTTCTTGAACTCATTAGAACTCGAATTTCTTAAAAGCTTGAAAATTTTTTTTTACCTAGAGCTCAATCTGAATCTCAGAAGTCAAACCGTGAACGCCGACCTAAGATAACTTGTACGCACAGGGAAATGAGTTACGCGGCATGTCTCTCAGCGGAAACAAAGGGTAAAGCTTCAGTCTCAGCCTCGCATTAGCTGTGATAGCATCCTGCATGTTTACACTAGCTGAATACATATATTTAGACAGTAAAAATACATTTAGACAATGATAGACAGTAACAGTAATAATTATTATATAATAAAATACATTTTAAAATAATGATTTCTTTTTTATTATTATTTCTTTATAATATTATTTTAATATTAATAAAAAACCATTAATACATTTAATTATAATAATATGAATAATTATATAAGTTTTTAAAAGAAATTCAAGTTGTAATGAGTTCGAGAACTGAGGTACCACTGTGTGTATGTGTACAGTATGTATATACACTCACCTAAAGGATTATTAGGAACACCTGTTCAATTTCTCATTAATGCAATTATCTAATCAACCAATCACATG